CAATACACTCTTTCTCCTTCACAATACCACGGATTGACAATCCTAACCATCTTAGCCAGATAAAATAATACAGACACAAGTTGTTACAAGTTTTATTATCCAAAATCAAATCTTGAACTTTAAGTATTGGTTTAAGAAAAGCAAAAAAGAAAAAAGAAAAAAGAACAAATCTTGCTATGGCACCCATCTGATCTCATGTTTCTCTTTTATCATCTCATGTGAGCAGCAACATCATTATTGCAAGGTCAGGGAGAAAGAGGAACAAGTGAGTGACACCTCCATTGTTTCCAGATTGAGGGGGAAAGAGAGACAAAGGTTGGAGAACTTTTTGAAATAGAGAGAATGGTGATTGAAGAAAAAAAAGTGTCACCATTGCCACATGTGACTACTAGACATCATTGTAGTGTGAGTAGTATCTTTGTTGTTGCTAAATCAGGGGAGAAAAAGGAGCAAATGTTAGAGAAGAAGTTTTTGAAATGGAAGAGATGAAGGTTGGAGATGAAAATGAGTTTCATTGTTGTCTCATAGGTGACCGAAAATCATCTCAATAATGTTGATTTTATTTTTTTATGATTTTAAATTTTTTATTTTTTCGATAAAAAACCTACTACTACCGATCAAAAACCACCATCGTCGATGCATCACCAACATAAATTCTTCACTTTAGAAACATTCTAAAAAAATTCTCATTTTACTTTCTAAAATTATATATGTTGATAATTTATTTATACAAAATGGTTAGATTTATAAAAAATATATTTTAATTTAATCCGATATTGTATTCTCCATAATGCATGTTCGACCCCCTTATTGTTACTTTGGTGGGTATAACTATTTAAGAAGACCCCTTGACATCAAAAGTGAAATTCTTCTAGTGAACTTTTGTTAGCCTTCAACAAGTAAAATCTTAAGTCAAACTGATCACTACTGAATTTTAACAGTGATACTTAATCATAGGTCAACATATCACTGACTCCCTTACAATAGTTATAAGAGATTTGTCTCCTATCTATCTATC